CTGGGACAGAGAGAAGGGAGGAAATAACAGACCACCTTACTGCCAAAAACCTAACTCTGCTGTCGGAGCCAGGCTGCAGCAGAAAGGCTGATGTGAGCCCTGGGATGCACAAGGATGGGGGAAAGGAAGCTGACCAGGAAATGTCAACCCTGGATCGTCACTGAGATCAATAGTGTAATATTGCATCTCGTCCTGGGAGATGCAGCTGGGAAAAAAAGCTGAAGAGAATGTAGAGCAGAGCCCCTGAACTGTTCACGGCAGAGTGTAAATGCCTCGCAGTAAGAGATGTAAGAGCTCAGGATCCTCAGCACAAGAGACCTGCTCCAAATACAAGGCAAGAGGACCAGGACTGGATCTGGCAGCTCCTATCCACAGAGAAGGGAGGGACAGAGGTGGGAGAGCTCCTCCAGACAGCCTGGAAAGCAGGATCCCTCCTCGTGTTGGAAAGGAAAGAGGATTGTATCTGTGGAAAGAGCCAATTGCCCTAACAGTAACCACCCAAACTTCCTTCCTCTGGCAGTAGCTCCAGCTACAGGAGATGGGCTTCCAAAGCTCAAGTATTTCCAGGGACTCTGTACTGCAAGACTCCACACAGGCAGAAAATAAGAGATTCAAGGAAATAATGAGATTGAAAGGGCTCCAGGAGGTGAACGGACCAAGCTCCTGCTCAGACAGGGGCAGGTTCAAAGCCAAGGTCTCCAAGGATGGAGATGCCAGGGTCTCCCTGGACAGAACTGCTTTTCCTTGTTCTGTGCCAGAACTGACTCTGCTGCAAATTACGATCATTTGTCATAATGCAATGTCCTGTCACTGTGTTCCTCAGAGTTTGTCTCTCTGCTTTCTAAGACCTACTTTTAGGTGGCCGGAGACTACAATTAGATCCCTCCTAAGCTTCTCCTACTTAGGCTACGATGCCCCAGTTCTCCCATCCTTCACCATACAGTTAGACCCTGCCTTCCCATCAGTCGTCCACTCCACTTGCTTTAGCCTGCGAATATCCCTGGTCTTTGTGGGGGCTTAGGACTGGATTCAGGGAGAGACATTTCACTGACACCTGTCAGTGCACGGCACAGCTTATCCACCCCAACTACCGGCTTGCACTCATGCTGTCCAGAGATTTAGTCCCCATCCTGCAGAGATGATGGAGTTTATCCTACTCAGGATTTTGAATTTGCCTTTGCACTTGCTGAACTTCGGCAAGCTCCTCTCAGCTCAGCACTTACCTTCCAGTTTCTGCCCCCTGTAAAACAGGATATCCTCTTCTAGTGTCTTGGCCTGAAGATGTTAAACACAACCCCACTGTCAAACCCCAAAAATGTTCAGCTCCCTGCCATTTAGACTTCAACACATGGATGACTATGTACTGCACTTCTCCCAGGCCTCTCAAGTTTTTCACCCACTTTGCAGTTCACTCACCCACTCTAAACCTCCTCAGTTCAGCTTCGATGAGAAGCTGAGAGCTTAAAAATTTTATGGCAGGGTCTGTCAATGTGCAACCACAAATTCTTTCTATAAAATGGCTGATAATTCCCCCAAATAGAGCTAAACACAGCAAGGCAGACAGGAAAATGGAAATACAATTAAGCTTTCCACAAGAACGTCCTTCAGCTGTGGATTAAGAGGATTATATCACTTAGAATAACATTTTTGTAACCTTTTGAGTCCAAATTTTCTGCAGATAAATGGAGAATTGAAATTCCTCACAGTAAAGCCGCTCAATTCTTGCACAAACTACACAGCAGCCCACTAATATGCTGCTCTCCATGTCTATGCAAAGTAGTTTCAGAACAACTTGAAATTCTGAAAGCAAGACCACACGGTAAAACAACTGCATTTCATGGTCACATTGCAATATGACTAATTTTATTATGTGGAGGACTGCTATTACACAGTGTAGATTTGAAACAGATTTAACAAAACCTTATCTCAGATCATCCACATCCTGTTTGTTTAAGACCATCAGAACAACATTATAAAAATACTGCTATGCTGTACAGTGAAAAATACAGGTAGAAGGGATGGACACAGATGATGTAGACAGCAGCAGATAATTCTGACCATGCTCAAGTTCATGCCTATATGGCACTGGCTGTGTCAGAAGGTCACACAGGGCTGGCCTGAAGCACAAGGAATCCACACAGCTCTCACCTGGCCTGGTTTGATTTCGGTGTTAACCCTTTGTCACCTCATGTCACGACATGTGGCTCTCTGTGCAAGAGAAACTCCTGTGCACCCCGGCCCATTGCATAACCCAAAGGAACTACAATGAATTACTTGTAATGCCAGAAGCCTTCCAACAAGACCATCCCAGCCACAGAATGAAAGTCTTCACATAACATTTTTTTAAAACTATTCTCTGCAACCTGAGCAGAGTAATATAAAAGCTTTTCAAAATAACTGAAACTGGATTTTGCAAACCCAACAGATGAATCCTAGATTGCAACATACCTGTGCTATTAATATGAACTCTTAGAATAAACAAAACATCCACAAAAATCCTTCTGGCAGAACGTCCCTTTGTGTACAGTATACACCTTTGTGCAAGTTGGTGGAAGTGACCATGACAGTCAACACAATTTGCCCCAACTTATCCCGACTGTCAGCTTTTCCCGCAATTAAATGTAGCAGCAGAGAACTGAAAGAAACCTTTTGTGCCATCAGGTTCTGTCCCTTCATAGTGCAGACTCTCATGCATTGTCTAGTCCTACCATAATCCTGATGAGAGCTTAACTTTAAACCTCTGCAGGGAGTTTGCACCATTATTTGCTTAGTTAATACCCTTCAAAAAACAGTTAAAAACAGTTAGGTGTTTCCTATGTAAACCAAACAAAAACCGTATTTCGGAATTTTTTTACTAGTACATAATGCACTGAAACATGGAATCCTATAAGGTCCTTCTGACCCAAACCATTCAAGACCATCTTTTTCTACCCCTCTGCTGTGGACAGGGACACCGTCCACTAGACCAGGCTGCTCAAAGTCCCATGTTAATACACAAATATGTTAATACTCTTTGATTCCAGGGAAAAAAAAAAAGCAAAGTTGATCAGAATAAACCCTTACAGTAAACTAAATTAGTCAGCTCTTCTAAATAAAAGTAATTATGGTACTTTTCCTCCCTCAGTTGTTCTCAGCTTACTAGGAGATAAGTAGTTAATTCATAGAGGAATGTTTTTCACCTTATTTTCAGAGAGGACAGATGATTTCAGAGAACATCTGGAGATGTTATGTGGTGCTTTCACACCAGTTCCTCTCTCTCCTGGCCACTCACAGCTGATCCAAAGGAATCTAGAGATCCACAACACAGTTCCCGTTACTTGTGCTCTGCAGCTCCGAGACCTGCAGAGGCCATCGCTGAGCCCATCATGGCAGCACTTCCCAAAGTTTTAAGTTACAAGGTAAGCCACCATGAAAGGTCTTCTTACCACAGGGATTTTAATTTAGCAGCTGCAAGTGCTAGCTTTAGAACAACCCCAGAAGTTCAGGGCAGGAAGCTCCCAGGAAAACCCTCTGTTCATCATCCCTTGCTGAAAGAAACTCATCCTGAGATACTCTCCCAGAGCTGCCAGTAACAGGCTCCAGTTAAACCTATTGCAACACCAGGTCCTGTCTGAAGGAGATCCTACTCTGGCCTTCCAGGAAAAGTAACACATGCTGCCACAGCACTCAGCTAAGGCAGAGCAACAGGAAAGACTGTGGCTGGACAGTGAATTAAGGGATACCACATATTTAAAAATATCCAGCAAGGGAAAACCGTGTGACTCCTGATGTGCTTGTTAACCAAAGTCTGCTTGGAGCCCAGCCCCAGACCAGGTCATCTTAGAGCATGGTTTTGTTTACACTGAATTTCTAGATTTATTGTCTAACTGTTGTAATGGATCTTGAAAACTCTGGCCTAAAGAAGGCCAGAGACAGGGAAAAGCATAATAAAAAAAGAGATTGGGCAGAATTCTGGTTTGCATACAGAGATTCAATGATCCTACATGAGATGCAGGAAATTAGTTCATGTATCCAAGATCTCCTAAGCATGGAGAGGCAGAAAAACCTGAGCAGGAAACAAGCAGAGAGATGCTTTACACAAGACTCAATAAAGCAAATTTTCCTTTTCTGAGAACACCTTGATTTGTCCCAGCAAAGGAACCGACTGGGTACAAACACACAGCCAGCCTCAAATCTGCAAACATGAGCATTTCCTTGGGCTGCTGAATAATTCACCGATTTGTATTTAGCCTGAAATGTTAACTGCATCTGCTTGTACATTAAGCTTAATGCCTATACATACATTTTTATTTCAAAACACTCCCTCTGACTGCTTCTAGGCATCCTGGCTCCCACATGGGCTCAGCTGAGGATCTGAGGCCAAAGATGAACTCTTGCACCAAATTTCAGAGCCTGCAGCTCCCTCCAAGCACTGAAATCTCCATGACAGGGAGATGACCACACTCTACATGTCACTTACAGAAAGAGACATGCTACTTATGAAGAAATAGCTTATTCCATTAATCTAAAAGGTTTTTACAGTTATTTATGCTAATTTTGTAACATATAAAAGTGGAACAACACCATTCCCAATGAAGAGACTGATTCTTTCAGAGTTAGTGATGATGGTACCTGCACTCCAGAACCAGCATCTACCCAGACTTCTTGACTTACATTCTAAGAGTCTACAGCTGAATTGGCTAAATTATTATTCCAATTATGTAAAAAATATTATTTTAACAGTGATCCTACTGAGCAAATTGCCTTCTTCTAAACTTAGCTCCCCAGAAAGAGATTTTAATAATTTCTTCTGAAATAGATTATTTTCATTTTGTTCATGCATGACAGCAAATTTCTGAAAAAGCAATAAAATAGAAACTAAGTAATAAATTACTCTAAGTAATAAAAAGAGAAATTAAAGAACAAAAAAAGGGCACTAAATAGTAAAGTCTTCAACAGAAGGACTTAACTCTAGGACAGAGCATAACCTTGAGCATTACTGGCAAAGGAGGAACACCTACCACAGCTTTGGGTTTGCTGACTGCCACCAGATTGGCCAGAAAATCCTCATCGCACAGCTGGCCAAACACATGGGCATCATAAGCCACCACTATGGAAATCTCTTCCATCATTTTGCTGTCAGGCTGCCTTTACTGGCTGAACAGGTCCACAGTCAAGGCACAGCCTTGGCTCAGCTCCGTGTCAGTTGTTCACACCCAGCTGAAGACGGTCAAGGGGAAGGAGTGTCAGGGGAGAGAAAACATGACCCAGCAAATCAGCTCACACTCGGGGTTCTCCTCTCAAGGGTGCCTTTGATGTCATGGGAAGCGTACACAGCACACCTGCTCACACTCCCAACATCTGACTTGCAAAAGGCATTTGCTGAAGTTTGGAGAATGACAGGAACCTGTTTTAATTCCAGTATTAGGCCAAAGACGAAACAGCAGGAGACAAAAGAGATTAGTATTAAACAAGGAAAGATCTGTCAGAGTTTGATAGCAGCACTGAAATCACTGCTCTGCTTCTCCAGTTTGGTAGCAATTGTTCATTCTTTATACCCAGTTTTCTCACATGAAAGCTGATATTCCTGTCAGCAGAGTCTTCCCTTCCAACAAATTGCTGCTTCTGGTTTATTTGTAAGTTCACTGAGATCAGTATGATGCTGATTTCTTTCAAGCACTCCTTGAAATTTTCTGCCAGTTTCTAAATCTCTCCTTTAAAATATTTTAAAGCACTCATTTCTGCTTTTCTGCAGATCTCAACTGCATTCTGTACCCAGCAGATACTTTGATTTTAGCAGGAAGATGATGGCATCAAGTCACAACCCTCCAAAAAAGCATCCTTCAGTTTCCACATGTAATAGAAGGCAAAACAGCCCTGAAAAATGCAACAAGGCTGTAAAGCTCTTTCTTGAATAAACAGGTATCTTCACAAGTGAAATTAAAACAATTTATACAATTAAAAATTTCCACAGAAGGTTTTTTAACTTCGATCTAGCACTGGTCTTGTTTTAGTTAAGAAGTAATGTTATCTCTTGTCTGTGAATCTTAAATAGTGGAGCAGCCTTTCAAATTTTTCCTGACTTCCCAATTCATTTATCATAACTTCTTTTATCTATCTGACACAGAGCAAAAACAGCACAAGGAAAAAATACAGAAAAAATAATTAAGAATCTGTACTCTGAAAACTACAAATTAAAATCTAGAAAACAATACAGGATTTGAAGAAACAAACAAAACAGCCCAGAAAAAAACTCCTTTCAGGACAATCTGGCAAGGTAAAACTCCATCCACTACATTTTTATCTTCTCTGGAAGTCTTTTCTTCCTTGGGAAAATTCATACCTGCTCAAGAAACAGAAATCATTCCAGCCATCCATTTGTCTCCAAAAAGAGTCTGTGCTGGATGCAATAAATCTGGTAGAAATGTCCAGTACAGGCTGGCATGGCATATGGTTATACTCTCCCTTTCCAGAACAGTCAGACCACCTGGCTTTTCTTTTTTTCTCTCCTCCTGGAGTATTGCTATCAAAGACTGCAGCTATCTAAACAGCACCAGGTATTATTTGCATTTGAATGGGAAACTTGAGCAACAGCTCTAGTGGGCAGGATTAAAATCCTAACATCTCTTCCATTTAAATAGTGGGGAGAAATTACATGTTATTGCTAGGAAACAGAGAGTTCTAATAGGCTTATGGCAAACAAAAAAGGCACCACTTGAGGTCAAACTCTTGAGACTAAAGCAGATTCTGATCACGCTTAACCCTTACAGGATCAAAAAATATATTTTCCCGTTGAAACACACCAAGAGTGCATTGTTTCCTTATTTTTCTTCAAAGGCAATTTTTCCAGTTAATTCCTGCAGTAGAAAGACTTCAGATTCCAGCCAAGCTAACGAGAAGGTGGCTCTCCATGTTACCTGCATAAAATGCCTACCTGCTATGCCAAACCCAGCTCAGGTTTTCTGAAGCCTTTAAACACTGCTTCCTCCTCACATCCATTGCCTTGAGGGGATATTGGTATCCTCTTGAAGAGCAAGTTCAGAGCGTGGGGCTGCTCCCCAGCCTCTCCTCGGTGTGCTGACAAAGGGAACCGCTCCCAGAAGTACGGTCCCTACCCACATCCCCTCCCAGCGCTGGCACCCACGCCAGGGTGCCAACAGGGATTGCCATTACCTTGGAACGGTCAGGTAGGCGCAAGGGAGGGAGCAGGTGGTAGAACAGCAAACATTCCCATGTTACTGAAAGACCAATTTAATTCTGCAATAAGGGCAGGAGGTGGAGCATGCAAATTATCAAACATACTCCACAGCTGCAGCTACTTGAACCCCTCCCCTGATTTAGCCAACAGGCATTTCCATTTATAAAGAATGATGGACCAGAACTACCTTTTTCTTTTTTTAGAGAGAGGTTACAATTATTTAACAGAACTACATCCACGTATTATTGTATAAGTAGTAATTCTCATACCTAACAAATAGCTTATAATTTTGGCATGTTCTAACTAGCAATTGCAAGAACTGACAACTAATTTGTGACATTGGCTGATGCATCTCTTTAAATACAATGTTTTTCAGTTGTTTCAAGCTAATGAAGTCGAGCTGCCTGCAAATCCCTATGATCCTGCATTTTATATCCCTGTTAACAGCCTGTGCTATACTCGGAATCAGCACACAAAATTATAACTATCAAGCCAGATAAACTAAATATTTTGAATTAAACTGACCGAAGCAAACACATCTACCCAGGCACAACTGCAGCCTGCTCACACCAGAGTAGCTAGAAGGGAAAGGGCAAGCAGAGGTGCACTCCACCACCTCCTCAAGCCACAGGATACACTCCTCCCGGCCCCTCCATACAGAGCCTTCCCCTCTACAGGGGTTTTTGGGTGCTGAATTGATGAATAAGCTACTAAAAGACAGTAAAACCCACGCAGAATATTTCCTTACAGCAAAGAGTGCATGTCTAACACCGCATCTACCTTGCAGCAGCCTTCCTAAAGTACCAGGAACGCAGCCCCCTCCATGACCCAGCTGTGAAAGCATACCTCTAAAGCAGGAATTTTTGGAGAAGTAGTGCAACCAAGCAGTAAGGAGACAGAGGAGAGCCAGCAGAAGGACGGATGAGCTGCAGAAAACTGTTAACTTGTTAAGCTAAGTAGCTCTAATTGCAGTTGTTAATGCTGGTGGTTAATACAGAATGGAAAATTCCTGAATTGAGCAAACCAGCTCTCCTGGCAAAGCAACATCCTGCTCAGTCCCAAGATAAATTTATTCTCACTCCACCCCCAGGAATGTCTTGCTGCTATCTGACAGGGATAGGATCTTCTGACAGACAGGCAAGTGAGGTATGTGCAGCTCCTTAGTAAGTGCTCCGTTCCTGCCACCAGTTCCACACACACAAAGGCCTTTTCTGTGATTTGCCTCTCGTGCATTAATGAATCCGGGAAGATCATAGCCGTCTTCAGAGAAGGAAACATAAAACCCCTTCAGAGCACTTGAAATGGCATTTGGCAGTCTTCAAGATAAGTTTACATGGTTTTTTCCCCCCAGTGAGAATGAATAATAATAGTATCAACTCTTCTTATAATTCTGAACCCACAGGAAGAGCCTTTTCAGACATCCAGCAAATGAAAACCACCTGAGTTACAAGTCCAACGCTGTGGATCACACACACAGTTCTATTCTCTCCCTACCCACAAAGGACTTGCTTACCATCAGAGAGCAGCAGAAACTGGAACTCTGTTGCAGTTTTAGACATGTTTTTGGATTCCACATGAAACTGGAATGCAAAGTCACCATGGCTTGCAGGAATGACCCGCACCATTCCAGAGATGCAATTAACAGGCTCTGACTGATCAGTGATTGCTTCTCCAAGATGTTTACTATTTAAAATGTTAAATTCGCATGGCTTATTTTTTTTTCTTCCAAAAGAAGTAGGTGTATGCACCTGTGTTTCTCCTAAAATAATTCTCCAAATGTGTGGAAAAATCTGGGCTTGATGTGCTTTAGCACATATAGTTACAGGGGTAAACCCTCACAGTTAGCTTGCCCCAGGTTTAAAAGCAGGCACAATTGTAAACTCATTCCTGCAGATTAAAGCCAACAAAGCCATCCCACTGCAGAGAGGGAATGTGCTCTCCTAGTGGTGGCAGAGGTCAGCATGGCTGAAATTGCTAAGGCATTCCTGACACACCGGTGATGCACTCCCCCTCAATGGAACTGTGTAGTCCAACACAAGGAAGAGCTGAGGACTTGAGAATCTTCATTTTATGGTGCCAAATACCCAAATTCCCCTTTCCCAGCATCCTCAAATCTGCTGCATGTCACACAAAAAGCTACTTGTGCTTCCATGCAACAACTACTGTGCAAGGATTTTCTTCCACAGTGTTCCTATAGATGATTAAAGAAAGAAAAGCTTATTATCAGCAACACCCTGAAACTCCAAAGGGTGAAGCGCAGTCCGGCCAATCACTGCCCAGCCTACTGGAGCTCACTCCCTGGATATCTGTAAGCACATTTTCAATTAATTTTGTTCTGTGTCTTTGCTCTGTTCCTCACTGAGGTGGTTACTAGCACTTGAAATTTTAAGGGTTTGGGTCAAGTCTGCTCTTCATTTCAGGTTTTACATAACTTAGAACTACAGCTAAATACGGCATTCCCAAAATAAATCTCCATTTTGATTTCTAAAACCACACAAACATGAACAAGATTAAACAGCAGCAGAGCTGGGACATCAGCCTACAGGTATGTGCTCATTATTCAGCTCAGTCCATTCCCGATTATTTTGCAGCTTTTAAAATGAATTCATGAACCTCTTTTGATTTTTAATTTATTAAATTCACATTGTTACTTTATGTTTTCATACATCTTTCCTATCCTGCAACTATCACTGTTTCTAAGGGCAATAGAAGTTATTCCTTCTCTCCAGCTAGGCTTCCTTCAGATGTGAATTGTCTGCCAGAAATATTTTGCGTCATGAACTTTCTTCTTGCCTGCTGGGAATCTGGGTTAGAGTTGCATGGACTTTTTGCTTGTTCATGTTTTTCCAGTGGCAAAGGCAGCACAGGACTCCAACAGAACTATGAGTGCATTTTATTTCTTAGCCCCACAAAGAGCTGTGCATTACCACACAGACATCCCCAAGCCAGTATTGATACCAAGTAAAGACATACTGAATCTTAGGGTGAGTTTTTGAAAATTCCAATTTTTGGCTGTTGAAAAAACAGATTTTACAGGATATTTGGAGCATAGTTTGTATTTACCTGATATAACCAAATGAGCTGAGCATATTTCCTCTTTTTCCATCCTTTTGTTTTGGTAAAATAGCTTTTTTTTTTTTCTTGTTTGGAAAACCTAGGGGCGGTAGCAGCGAGCTCCCCAATAGGCAAATGCTCCTCCAGCCTAGTGCCCTCTGAGTGGGCCAGGCTAGTTTGGAGTAGTGAGAACACTACAGAAACCATGCAGAAGGAACAGGCAGAAATTCCTGATCTGCCTTGGAATATAATTTCCTGACACACAGCAGGCTTCTGCCAGCTGTCTCCTGTGTTACTCCTTCTCTTTTTTATCCCCTTCTAGTTCCATATCAGCAGACACCTACAAACAACTCCACAACTCGGAGAAGTGGTGACAGCTCCAGGGCCAGGTACTAGGGACCTTCCTACTCCTGCCCCACAGCCATGGCCAGGAAAACCTGTGAGTAAACCTGTGCTCACGGAGGCAAATCACTACCAACAGGTCGCCCAGCTGATGAATGGACAAAGATTAACAACATGTTTGCCATTACAAGTGTCTCTGATATTCCCTGGGTTACTAATCCAAGAACTGAATAATGCTTGTATGGCATTTGGACCACACAAATACCATTTAGAGCTAAATTCCATAATCAACTCAACACTACCTGTGAAATGTATTTTAAACTTGTTGCATTTATCGCTTCACTTGGTATTGAAAAGAAAAAAGAAGGGTCAAGCATATTATCCGAGAAAATGAGCATAATATAGGGATGCTTTGCACTTACAACGACTGACATGGGTTTCTGGCCTGGTTTCAGTACAGGTTGATCCAGGGATTTCACCAAACAGCCTGCTGTCTTTTCACTTACAGCAGATGATCAGCAAACAAAAGATACTAATTAACATTAATCAGCACATTAAATAGCGACACATGTCACATGAAGAGACTCACACAAGGCCCAGGATTCCGGCCTTCTCATTCTAAACCCACATTTGACTTTCTTTCTCAAGGTAGATACATTCTCCATATTTTTCATTCCCTTCCCAAAGAGGGGTTAATGGTCCCTACCTACAACCCTAAGGAAGATTAATAAAGGTAAAATTAATGGAAAATGCAAAACACTATAAACTGTACTATTACTGATGTCTGTCAGGTTTGCTCCAGTGCTGAACCAGCCATGCTGCATGGGGAGAATGCAGTGACATGTTTATCTAGATGACCTGAAGTGCCCTGTTTCAGGTCAGATTTTACTATCTTTACTGACTATCATTTTGCACGTGACCTTCAGTCTGGGACAAGAAAAAAAAGGGGAAAGAAGGAAAGGCTGGAGAGCAAGATGCCATGAGAAATTCTTGTAGTTAAGTAACAGGAAGAAAAAGGCAGGACCACAGCACATCCTCTTCATCAATCCCACAGGAGCTGGCCATGCACAAACTCACCACGACACCCTTGGCTGTGCTGGTACTGCACTGACACCCTGACAGGAGCCCCGTGGGAAAGGTGAGACGTTTCTATACTGAAACAGAACAACAGTAATGGCACATTCCCCAGACAAAAAATAAATCTGCACTACGATTATTTGAAAGATGAGATAATGAGTAATTAAGACCGAAGTGATGTGGGTGAGCAGGAAATGGCACATGGTGTCAGCCAAACTGGGCTAAACCAGGCAGACCAGTCCAGGCACCTTCCCTGAGATTTACCAGTCAGTGTGACTGTTGAGACACAGTCTAGACTGAGGCATGCCCGATGACTCTGAATGAGATAATTTCATGCATTTTGCATTAAAAGTACAAACCACTGACACCTTCCAGGAGAGTGGCATGTCCCTCAATGCTGGAGTTAAAAATCAAGGCATTAATTTGGAGGTCACAGGACTGAATGAAGCCTAAAAAAGTCCAGCGGACAGCCCTTGCAGGTAGCTGTTGATACCAAAGGTAACAAAGTCAGTTGATTCAGAGAAGGCATTTGACCCAACACCCATTTGCTAGGAAAGGCAGAAAGCAGCTAAGTCTCTGTACTCTCCTGGAAAAATTCCCTGAGAACTTGCACAGGTCAGCTCATGGGGAGAAAGGAAGATCAGGACCATGCAAGCTGATCAGCAGTATAAGACTACCAGCAGTATCCACTAATCTAAATTCCACATAATCCTCTGCCCCTAAATCCCTATTCATCATCATCCAGTACAGTGAAAAAGAAATTCTCTTCTCATAAGATGATTTGGGAGGCAAGCTACTCCAGTACTTAACTGTGCTGATCTAGTTTCCCACTGGGAAAATCTGCATCTACATTTAATGGTTCAATGTAACACAATGAGAAAAGCTTCTGTATTTACATGCGATTTAGAGATTACTTTGTCTTGATTTGACTGTTAATAAGCTTATTTTAAGAGCTCAAATGGCATGTGTGGAGGGGCAGAGAAAGCAAATGCTGCCACCAGTTATCAAAGATCTCTACATTATAATCATGTATTTCTTCAGAAATCAGAAACTAGAGCTATTTCCATATATTCTTCTACCCTCCCCATCTGGCTTATTCCAAGCTTGTCTTTTATTTAAAATCTTGACTATAGATCTTGTATTACTTACTACTATGATACCTACCCAACTAAAAGAAACTAGACACTTCCTAAAACAATACCAACATAAGGAATTGCTGCAGCTCAGCATAGATGTCCACAGGCAAAAGGACATTTTCTCCTCGTATCCATGGGCACAAAGTGCTGCTTAAGCTGAGGTCAAGTGCAAAGGCTGAGCTCCCTTGGAAGCTCCCTCACTCCCAGTGCTTCTGTTGGCTCCTCTCAACATCCAGCTAGAGGCCAATATTTAGATACAAAATTGAGCTATAATTTCTAATCTGTACCTCATTTTTTTAATATGTCTTTCATGTAGAGGAAGTATTTGTGCAAAATTCCTTCTTCAAGAAATACAAGGGAAGTGCTGGTAATGAGTGAGAGCTAGTTTTTGCTTGATCTGAAGAAGAAAACCCCATCAAACAAAGAAATATAAAGGATGCAATAAAATTCAGAATTGTTTGCAAAATTCTTAAAAGGAGGCTTCTATCACCATAAATTTCCATAATGTATTACCAAAGTACGTATTTTATCTGATCACCATCATTACTTTCACTGTTTGGAAAGTCAATGAAGCAAAATAAACCAACTCACAAGAAAGTAATAACTAATATGAAAAAGAAAAGCTATGTTACTGTCTACAGTGAATTTCATATGTCATCTAAGTCCAGGTACCTACATACTGGTTTGAAAGGTTGTAGATGTCCTTCTCTCATTTTTGACAGATGTACTGGTTTGGCACTAAGGACAACCCACGGAAGTGATTTTTTCTGAGAGGAGCAGCTAGAGCTTCCTCTATGTCTGACAAAAAACAATCAGCAATTGGTTTTGAGAATCGACAACCTGTTAAACCACTGAAAGAGATGGACATGCCTCTGCGAAATTCACATTTTAAAATGAACAAACTCTGGGAATCTCTTATTTCTGGCCTCTCAGAAGGTAACTAGTCCTAGTCTCCATGGCCTGCGGGCCTAGCTGAAGACCATCAGCTTGTGGCTGGAATTGAATGCAGTAAAAGCCAGAAAACACCTATGCAGCCAGAACAGCCACCACTGCTGGGCCCTGCTCTCCTGGCCCAGTCCCAGGTGCTCACAGGTGCTGCCCAGGCAAGATATTAACTCTTTCATTGCCTAGATGAGACTGGCAGACACTGTTCTCTCTCCTGAGTGAAAGAAAAGGACAGTGATAGACACACAGAGAAACAACCTGAAGACACCAAGGTCAGTGAAGTAGAAGTCAGGTACTAGATGGAAGGGATTGATGGAGATTCCTCACTCTTGGGCTGAAATCCTCTTGGTAAGGCTATGGAGAAGATATGATTGATACATCAGACTCTTGTTTCACTATAACTCATAGAAATGCATTATGAGGTGGATGAAATATTCTAACTGTATACATAAGCAGATGCACTTTTGCTAAAGTAAGCAGATGTTGAAGTAGCTGTGATCCCATGAGATATTTGAAGAGAAGACCCTTGCTGCCCCCCAGGGAAGGAGAAGAAAGACTTCTGTTTTCAAAAGATGAAGAGAGCCCTTGCTCGAACTGTTAGTCCTTAAACTGATGTGCCCCAGAAGTTGACATGGTCCTTGATAACAGTTGTGGGAAGACTGTCAGTTGAGGAAGGAACTTTGACACAGTGATCAGATTTCCATTCTCCCAGGCAGCTGTTTCACTGTGACACTGAGGCCACGAGAAAACTCTTTCTTGTGGAGAAGTCTCCCTAGACTGAAGAGAAGTCTTCTCTCCCTATGTAAATTGGTGAAAGACTATTTTTATAGATGGTAAACTGACTGATTTGTTTCTGTATGTTGTCAGTCTGAAAGGAAAAAGAAGCTGTGGGGGAGGAGAAGTGTTCTGAAAGTTTTCTTCTGATTTTTTTTTTTTCTTATAGTTTCTAGTAATAAAGTTTTTCTTTGTACTCTTTAAAGTTTGAGCCTGTTTTGCCTTCATCCTAATCCTATCTCACCCAGCAGGAAATGAGTAAATAATTCTAGTGGGTGCACTGGTGTTTAGCCAGTGCTAGACCCACCACATAAATTGATGCGTTAGCCGGAAAATCTCAAATTGGCAAACAAAAACCACTACACAAAATTGGTGTTTCCACCTGGGAGAACCTGAACTGTGACAATAGAATAGCTCTGTTTCCAATTACTCTTTATCACAGAATCACAGAATGGTTTGGAAAGGATATTTAAAGGTCATCTTCTCCAACCCTGTTGCAATGAGCAGGGACATCTTTAAAAATAATTACTCCTTGAAAGCAGTGAATGATTTTATCACCTTTGTCAGACATAAAATCACAGATGAAAAATATATGACGGTTGTTTCTTGGAATGCCACACATTATCTTTCTTCTGTAGATATTTCTCACTGCAGAACTTTCCCAGAGAAATACACATGGACTTAGTAACACTCCTGCGACTGAAGCGTTGCCTGGGGACTGGCAAATGATTTATGAGGACATTAACTGGACACTGCCAGCTTTAAGGAGAGT